CCTATCCCCCTGTGTGCCTTGCCTACCCCACGACTTGAAAAGGTAAATAGGATAAAAATAATAATAAAGTTATGAGATTTAAGCTATTTAGACTAAACATTCGTGTTTTTTTAGTCATTCTGGAATGAAAAAAACCATAATTTATATTTAATTCTTAATTTTTTATGTAGTGATGAGGTCAACTAAAATCAACCCAACCCGTGCAGAGATTCGATAGTGAAAATAACAGAAAAAATATTAAGTTTTTTCTTTAAAAAGGTTTTATAATTTTCCGGAAGTTATAAATATTTTGCATCTGAAAGTTGAAAATTTCTGATGCATAAAAGTATTTTTAATCTTAAAAATGAAAATTACTTTGCAAGTTAAATAGTGAACATTCGAAAAAAGGCATGAAAAAAACATTACTTAAAAAATCTTAAACTTAATAAAAAAATCTAATATTTTGCATATGAAAGCTGTCTATTGTTTACTGATAATTTTCAAAATTTTGTGAAGATATGCAAACTAATTTAAAAGTTATAGCATGAAAACTGGAACAAGCACAAAATTGGTATAAGCCCATGCTGAAAGAGTTAATAATGCAGCTAGATTCATATGTGTATTTTTTAAGTTATATCTTAAATTATCCTTAAACAGTGATCAGTAAGCTTTTTTTTACTCATTTTGTTTTATTTTTTTGCTTTCGTTTTACTTTCCCATACACCCAAGGGTACGTATACCACAGTTTGAGAAACATTAATATAATGATGACAATATTTATAATGAAGCTTTTCTTTGGTTATAGATCCTTGTCAACTTGTTACATTTGGGTAGGAGTTAATTGTTTCACTTTATAAAATGCAATGACTGTTATTTGCAAATGTTCTTTTAATTTTGATTTAGTTGTGACAGTAGTTATAAACCACTGAACATCCCATATTTTTTTCCTAATTTTCTGTGTTTAGTAATTAAGTGATTTTAATAATACATGTAAAACGTACTGTATTTTACTATTGATTGTGGTACAAGTGCTTTAAAACTCTCCTCTTAAAAGAAGTAAACTTTGAAAGAACGTGTAATGTTTTGTACCCGTAGGCAAGCCGACAAAAACAGAGTTTGACAGAGAAGTTTCATGTTGCTCAAGAAACAATCAAAGAGTGTCAAGATAAGTTTGAGAGGATTAGAAAAGAGAAGGAGAAGCTAGCACAAGATCATGCTCAGTTACTACAGCGATTGGATACATCAGATAAAGAACAAATGCAACAAGGGGAAATAATTACTGCTCTACAAGAAGAAAAGGAAGAATTACAAAGAGCAATTTATTCTCTCAACCATAGCAAGAGCTTACTGGAAGAAAGTAAAAAGCACTTGGAAGAAGAGTTGGAAGTTCATAAAACAAAACAACAGCTTCTTCAAGGTAAATGTCATCTTAGGTTATATTTTCTTAATCATGACACAATTTCATGGTGATATTTATTTCCATCCACTTTTCTTATTTGTGTTTACAAGTTGTGTATAATTTGGTCTAGATAACAGTAACAAACTGGGAGAACCTTTTACTCTCATAGAACTTGTTTGATGTGTATTAGAAGAGTTAAGAAAAGTTGCCTTTCTACTGATTCTATTGTAACTTCATAATATATTTGTGCTGAAACCCAGCATTAAAATAATAACTGTCCGTGAACATTTTCTATTTTTCTTCCAAAGAGTTTTTATTTATCTAAGAATCAAATTTGACTAATAGTAAAATGAGCTGTAATGTCCATAGTCATATGGACTTCAAATGAAAAAGTGTAGTTGACTAAAATAAATGTTGTGGATTATTTTCTGTCATATAAGTTTAGTTATAACTAGAGTTTCAAAATTATTTGCTTGACAGTTAATATTGTTTCCTTATACTTACATAAAAGGCAAGTATCTTAGAATATGTGCGATAACCTCAAGGTTGAACCGAGCTCTGAGCTACATGATTTCTGCAAAACATAAGTTGGTTGAGAATCTGTTGCACAAAAGGATGAGTGTAGTGATTTGTTGCAGGTTGAATGATATCAAAGAAAAGAAATTTAAAAGTAAAGTGATTGAATAATGCATTTTAAAATGTATTTGCAAATAATGGAAAGCATCGTGATCAGCAGTTTTTGTATTTCCAAGCCTTTCCAAAGTGAGTTCATATTCCCTCAAAGTTTACAGAATACAAAAATTATCATTAAGCTAACATTTTTGGAAAGAATACTGGAAGCACTGCTTACATCATGCCTGTTCACATATGGCCACATCTGATGTAATAAAATCATTGTGAATTTCTTAGAAAAGTAATTTCCCTTATTTTTTTTAACAGGTAAGTGTTCTTCATGTACATATAGCACATTCATTGACTATGAAAATTGGTTTTAAGTGGTTTTGTTGCGAAGTTCTCACAACGCAGTAGATTACATTTCTCCTATCAGGTCTATACAATATCTTCATTTCAAGTTAAAGAGGTTTGGCATCTTGTTAATCTGTGGACAATACAAATCTAATTGATTTATATGACTTGTATTTATGATCACTTAATTTCTTACTGTAGGGTGGGTTCATGTCATGTGTTCATGGAAAGTAGTGTGTGACAATGTTTTGGGTGGTATATTTATTTACTTTTTGTGTATGTAAGTGCATGTTTATGTATGTATGCATATTTTACTGCTCATTCAAATCTGTGATATATTGTTCAATTTTAAATGTCATACTCTTTCTCTATCCTTCATTTTGTTGAATGTACAATCCTTTCCATATTTTCATAACTTCATCTGCTTATCTTAACTTGGCTCACATAAGGTAGAAACCTTACTTTTATCATACTAAACCTTTTTTACACAAAAATGTTTAACTGTGAAAACCAGAAGAGTCTGTCACTTTGTTTTTTTTTTATTCTGGGGCTTTTTTCATTATAGTTCATCATTGTACTGAGTTAGAACAAATATGCTTTGAAACATTGGCTATTTCTTAATTATAACTGTTGAATAAGAATTATGGTATTAGCTTAAGAAATGAGTAGTGACCCTTCATATTGCTTACTATTTTTTTAGAAGAAAAGAAACAATTTGAACATAAATATGAGTTTCGTTTTTTAAGTATTCCCTGTTAAAACACACTAATAAGTAACACTGTACAACGTTAAACTACCAGCACACAATAGAAATGACCACAAGAAGTGAAAAAATAATGAAAAAACTGTTCAAAATCAATAAAACACACACCTAATAACAAAAACTTTATTATTATTTGCAATGTTTCAGGCAGAAGCCTTTTGTCAAGCAGTTTAAACCATGTTACATAGATAAAAGGCTTAGACAGAATCATTGAAGGCTTAGAATATAAAGAGATTCTAAATTGTGCACATGCTGTGTGGAGCACATTAACAAAAATATTGTTAGAAGGAACATTGTTGAAGCAGTTCTATTAACCCTTTTTTAAAATGGAAAACATATTAATGCAATAGAAATTGTATGTTAGAAATTTAAAGGACTCAGAAAAGTAATAAACCTAAATTTGAAAATGATAAAATAGTAACTTATTAACAATAATAATGATCAGGGAAATATGTGTAGGCAGTGTCAAGTTAACAGGAGTAGCAAAGAGTTATAAATGGAAGCTGTAATCACGTAAAAGAAAAACGTTCATTAATTCTGTGTGGTGCAAGAGAATTTGCTTTCACGATCATACTTGTTGTAATTTGGAATGTGCTAGACACTTTCAAATTCCTCTCATGTTTGAAAGAAATTAAGGGTGGTACAAATGTTGTTAGATGTGTTGTCTCTTTTCAGTAAGGTAAAGTTGTGTTTGAAAATTTTGTTAATCTGTCTGATTAAAGGATGATATGTAAGGACTAAAGGAACTTTGTGGTTTGTCCTTAGACAGTCAGCTAGTGATTAGCCTTTTCAATGGTGTTATTGGCAGTGTCAAGTTAACAGGGGTGGCAAAAAAATATAAACAGAAGCTGTAATCACTTAAAAGAAAAACGTTCATTAATTCTGTATGGTGCGAGAGAATTTAGTTTAAATATAAGTTTATGTTCTAGGCTCTCACGATCATATTTGTTGTGGGGGGAATGTAATAAAACAAGTACACTCATGTTGTCAATTCCGTTGTGATCCGGGAAGTTGAAATGTTTGGGGACTGGATGGTCAGGGGTGTCATTGCATACAAGTCAGAGGTGTTCATGGAATCTGTCACCTAATATGTGTATAGTTTCCACAATATAGAGTTGTTTAGATCTAGTACAGTGAATGCAATAGATAATGCACTCTGATGTACAGATGAATTGGCCTTTTATGTGAAAGGTAGAACTGGAGAGAGTCGATAAGTTGGTGATATAATCGCATGTCAGGCAAGTAGTTCATCCACACAGATGAGTTCTGTTAGTTTGTGCAAGTAAGGATACTTAGGTGTGTAATTTGGAATATACCAAACAGTCTTTCAAATTCCTCTCATGTTTGAAAGAAATTAATGGTGGGATGATAAAAATATCGTTAGATGTGTTGTCTCTCGTTAGTAAGGTAAAGTTCTGTTGGACAGTTCTGTTAATCTGTCTGGTTAAAGGATGGTATGTGAGGACTAAAGGAACTTTGTCACTATGTAGTTTGTACTTAGAGTGGAGACAGTCAGCTTGTGATAAACTGAATGTGGCAAGTTTAGCCTTTTCAGTGATGTTGTCGGGATAGTTCTGATATCTAAAATAATGAGTCATCGTTTGCTTTACACCTGAAGTCAGCATTGTCGAAGCACAGACGTCTCAAATGTAGGAATTGTCCCATAGGAATAGCATGTTTGTGCTCAGAAGGATGGAAAGAATAAAGTGTAAATAAGAATGGCTGTCAGTGGGTTTGTAATGTTAATGTAGATGTGGAAGTGTTAATAGTGATGTCTAAAAAGTTAACTTTCTGACAAAATCTGGGAAGTAAATTTAAGAGATGGGTGGTAAGTTTCGGCATAATGAATGAAAAGGTTGAGTTCTATGGTCAGCCATAGAATCAGTAATGTTAGGTAATCAAAATCATTATCACAGGAGTATACTGGTTTAGTTTAATTTAGCATAAATGTTAATATCTTCATTGGCTATGAACAAAATATTCAGAAAATTAACAAAAACAAATTTTCATTTGTAAGAGTTCTAAAATAATTTTTGTTACCTTGTCAGATATCTGACAGCCTGTGGAATATATCTATCTGAGAATCAAATCTTAGTGTGTTACTTTTTCTGATATCTGAAAGCTTATAGAATAGATAGATTTACCTAATAAAATATTGACAGAAGATGACTCTTTGAGAGCATCGTCTGTTGATCTTAAAATTATTGCAGTTGAAGGAAATAATTACTTTACACTGTCAGAGTGAAAAATGCTTCCTTAATTATCTGAAAAAAAACTCCATGAATTTCATTTATAAAGTATTAATTTTTCATCATTCTAGGTCAGCTATTGGACCTCAAAAAGTTGAAAAATCTGGATGAGGAAATGTTTGCCAGAACTAAAAGTAGCTTAACTGAACGCTTGCAACAGTTAGAACATGAATATCAAGTTGCACTGCAACAAGAAAAACACCAGAGAAAAGTAGATATTGAAATTCTGAATAAAGAGAAGGTATGTTGAATTTGGACTAATGAATATCCTTGTGTTACATGATCAACCTCGTGACAGAAAAAGAGGAATATGCTGAAATGGTAGTAAATCTCTATAAAACTCTAGACAAATTGGAGAAAATGAGAAAAATAAAACTTGTTTCAAAGTAAAGGGTCAGCAGAAGACTAGTGTCCACTGAACGTTTTAATAATTGCTTACTGTGAGCTAGTTCAAATCATATCTTCATTTTGCATATGTATATTTTAATTTTCCATTTTGTATATGCTTATAAACATTTACTTTGAGTTTCAATCTATTTTCACATTAACCTTGAACATGAAAAATGCATCTTATTTAACTCTTTTAAGTGTGTGTAAAAACTATTTTGACACTTTCATGTGTCTTCTTCAGTCTTACATTGTCTTCTGGCAGGAAATCTGGTCAACAGTGCTTTTTATTTTACCTACAACAAATCACTACAGTTGTTCTTCCACATACTTGAAAGTTAAACCTCTAGTTGTTGCAGAGATTAAGGAACTGTTTGCTTGAAGGAAGGAGAGAAAGGTAAAGAGTGGGGAATGAGAATAACTTACAGTAGAAGATCCTGCTTTTCAGTGTTGTTATATTGCAGATAATGTACAACCTAAATACCATTTGTGCAATAATGCACTTGAAATTTGTTATTAGGAAAAAAAATTAAAACTTAAACATGCAAACACAGTTTTGTTCTATTTATTAGTAAATTAAAAATTATCATATTAGTAGAAACAAAAAATACTTGCATCAATTTCTAAGTAACAACTTGAGGTCTGAGAATAGCTTAGCAAGAGAACTAAAATATTAGCAGCAACTTTGCATTGTATAAAATTATAAAACATGAATGTTTCTATTGCTTGCTGATATTTCTTTAACAATAGTAATTAAGTAACATTTCACCTGTAGTCACAAATGTTTGACTGGTTAAATATTAGGGTTTGATTAAAATAGATCTTAAGATACAGTTACACAAGTCTCGATATTCCCACACTTTTGATCCATTAAAGTAGATATGATATGGCAATTGTAAATAAATAAAACAAATGATAATAAAATATTTGGTGTGAATATATATTTGTATTGACTAACAGTCGTTTTATTCAATGTTTTGATTGAATTTATGTTGTTTTTTATTATTTAAAACTTAAATCAACCTCATAGAAAGATAATTGTTTGAACAAGGGCTCAAAAAGCTATACTATGAAGTGCTTACTGGAGTAACTAAAACATGTAGTATGATGAAAAACAGCCATAAGCTCCAGAACAGGGTATATTTATTGCACTCAGCATTTTGTTTCTGCAATTTCTTACACTGCTAGACTCACAAGCAAGTAACTAAGTGTAAGGTTGTTCTTGAAGAAGTTATTGAGTAAGATAAACAAATATCTTCTTTGGAGTTTATGGTTGTTTCTTCATCATACTAGAAGAGCTTAAACAGATAACATGTATTTACTTGGTTTCCACAAGTTAAACATATATCCTTGTTTGGTTAATTTGTTTGTGTTTATTATCTACAAATTAAATCAAAACTTTTAATCAATATGTAAAGATACTTTTATTTACAAAACAAATGGCAAGAACTTTAGTATTTAAATATATTTACTTAATCCTACAGTTGAAAAAGTAGCCTTTTAGTCGTTATAGATTTCGTACTTCTAACTTTCAATATAGTGTGTATATCTTCACAAAATTCGTCAGTCTTTCAGTTAATATTTTAAGTCTTTCACATAAAAAATCATATTTTTTAATGAAGTATTTTTAATGAAATAAAGATTTGCCCATGAATAAATTGAGTATTTGCTTTGAATAGTCCATGTGAAAGGTAATTTTCATTTTAAAATTAAAAATACTTTTCCTCATCTCAAAAATCTCAAATTTCCTTTGTGTAATCCCTAAAACCTCCTAAATGCATTTCCAACGACTTTTTTTCAGTAAAACTTTATAGTTTATTTGTTATTTTCTCTACCTTATCTCAAAATGGGATTGGTCAATTTGACTGACCACATAACCAATGGAAATAAAATCGAAGTAAACCTAAATTACCCCATTTTCTTTCTAGAATGACTTCAAATTGTAACATGAAACTACACTCATTTATCCTAAGTAGTTCTAAGTTTGTAAAAGTATACATCTATTTATAAATAAATTTTATTGTTTTATCACCCTTTGAACTGTGCCTACCTACTATTTGTGCCATTATAAGTTGTAACTCACTTGTGGAATGTGCAGCTCACATTATGCCATCGAATTACATTACCCATGAGCTGCTCACTTGTGTGCCTCATGAAACATTTTCATTGTAATATTATTACTTATTTTACCTAATCTAATCTTAACTAAAGGATCCGTATGTTAACGTTTTAGTAACTTTTATAATTATACATAAAGAATAAACATGAAAAAAATACTTAACCAATCTTCTTTTTTCTTACTATTGGGTTTCGAAGAGAGTTAACCATAATTTTTTATACTATAGATAGTAATTCACTTAATAATTTTTATTTAATTAAATAATGCACCAAATAATATAGACTAATAACATGCAGAAAGTAGACAAATTCTCTTACCTCTCAAAATTTTTCTGGCTTTTTAACTATGCGATAAATGTCATTACAAATTCATCCAAGCTAGTTGTTAACTTTCCCAGACGAACAATGTTGGTACTGTGAGTGAACTTGACATTTAACTGTTCAGTACATAACGTTATACAATACGTCATTTGATAGATGAAAACCTTGACTTTCTATTGGTTATAGGTAATATATAATGAAATGTAAGAGAGAACTAGCAACGAATTATGAAATAGAGGATGTGACAGGTGGGTGTGGTAGTAGGGGTCTGATTTTCTATTCGATAGTTCTGTAATCAAACAAAATTAATGGCTTTAAAAATTATGGTTTGTGTGAGTAATAACGATTTTATAGAGAGTAATTTACATTTAATTTTGTACTTTTTCAACGGGTGGTGGATAAAATAGGGATGATGATATGCTAAGAGAAAATGTGTCACGTGGATCAGACTAGTGAAATTCAGGATTTTTTTATATATTTCCCTTTAGAATTAAGAACTTAAACCTTGTTTACTATTAAAATATGGATTATTAGCTAAGATTGTATGCTATTCTAATTGGTATAACATAAACAAAAAGTAATTTAAAAAAAGTTTGAATATAAGACTCTAAAACCTTGTGTTGTGTGCAGTAAAGAATACCCGTGTCGATAGGGTTAAGGTGTTATTTATTTTTACATAATATGTATTAAAGTGTCTTTAAAAGTATAGCTAAACCTTGTATGTATGTTTGCTTGAAACTTAAATTTTTCAGTGTAGTGTGATGTATCAACAACATAGAATTTAATTAGTTTTCCACCATACACACTGCACAGGGAAGCACATAAACTGTATTTCCATTAAAAATATTTGTTCATACACCAGAGAAGAGTTCTGCAATTAATTTTCATTATGTATCTCTTTGCCTGCTTTGTAAACAACTTTTTTATGTGAAAAATCATGACTTTATCTTAGTGATCTGAATTGAACTAAATTTTTAATAAGTCTTTTCATTAACTGTCTCTCTCTCTTCCTTTCTATTTTCAAGTTAGAGAAGGATTTTTCTGAAAAAAAAATATACATTAAAGAAATTAGTTCTTCAAATCATTTGGAGGTGACTGCTCTCACAAAATTGTATTTATAGTGTAGAATCTGCTACAAACCACTATAACTAGATACATTTGTTAGAAGTAAATTTGTTAGACGGGTTTAAAAGGAAAGAAACTACATTATAAAAGTAAAGAAAAATGTTGTTACTTGCAAAAAGTGTTATTAAATTTCTGAAATTAGGTTATCAGCTATAATCACACCAAAAGTTTGCAAAAATATCATTAGACATAAATGTGTAATTTTACTGAAAGTATTGTATGAGAAATAAGCACATAGAAAAAAATATAGGAAATAGTAAAAAAAATACTTAAATTTGTTCGAGAGGTCAAGAACTAAACAAAAACATGAAAATTTGTCCCTATGCCACACATGTTGCTAAGAGCAAAATTCATACAAATTGTAAAATTTGTATAATTTATATTGCCTTAGATCAAATTAGATACATTGTGAATATTTGTGAACTAATAGCCATGATTTTTCTAGCAATAAGTTATAGAGATAATAAACGTTTAGATTAAGATGCTGTTATGTCCTATAAAACACATCCATTGAAAGTATGTTTTATATTTTGTTATAATAAATAAAGGCTAACATAAAATTTACATTTATTCATACCCTCAAATTACTGACTTACCTTTATACTGTTTATCAGTAATTTTGATTTTCTACATTTTTATGACACATAAATTATTGGCCTGGCATGGCCAGGTGGTTAGGCTGCTCGACTCACAGTCTGCAGGTCGTGGGTTCGAATCTCCGTCACACCAAACATGCTCGCCCTTTCAGCTGTGGGGGTGTTATAATGTGACGGTCAATCCCACTATTCGTTAGTAAAAGAGTAGCCCAAGAGTTGGCGGTGGGTGGTGATGACTAGCTGGCTTCCCTCTAGTCTTACACTGCTAAATTAGGGATGGCTAGCGCAGATAGCCCTCGTGTAGCTTTGCGCGAAATTCAAAAACAAACAAACGAACATAAATTATTAGGGATCATTTACTCATTGCTCCACTAGCAATATGGTGAATAACTAGTTTAGAATAGAAAAATGTCTTTAAAATGTCATTGGTAATTCTAAGTGTTAAACAATTTCTGATTTGTTTGTAAATTCATTATGACTGAAAGTTCTTTGCTACATTGCAAAATATATATTCTATGAAATTTCTTTACATTTTTTTTTTCTAACAAAGTTTTAAGGACAAGTTTTATTAGGTAATGACACTATACTGAAGTATATGTAAGTAGCAAATATTTGTTTTGAATGGGAACATTTGATGCCCTGGTCATTTTTATTATTTATTTTGGTCAATGGATAGTTAAATATGATATTTTCACCAGTATATAAAGAAATGTAAGCTGAAAAGTCAGTTTTCAAAATTGTATAAACTTTAATTTTTTTTAGGAATCTCAAAGAACACGTTTTGAAGCTTCATATGGAGAAATTACGAGTAAAATGCAAAATGAAAGAGAAGAACTGATTAACTGTCATCAAGAAGAAATAAACAGTTTAAAACAAGAATTGGAAAATAATCAGAGAATTACAGAAGAGAAACAGATCCAAAACCAGCTAGAAAGGAAGCAGGTAAATAAGTTTATATTAACAAAACTGACTTAGAAGTAGCCTGATTCATGGTAGAAATGTACTGCTATTATAAGCTTTGTTCTCAGTTCACAATTGACAAATTCAACTAGAACTTGTTAAATCATAAAAAATGTGTACAAGTGGGAAATGAAGGAAACTTTTTGTTGAACTTTACAGACTGTCAATATGAAACAGGTCAGTTTTTGTGTAACTGTAAAAAGTGTCATTATGAAACCAGCTCACTTTTGTGTGTAACCTGACAGACTGTCGATGTGAAACCAGGCCACTTTTGGTGTGACTGGAGAAACTGTCAGTGTGAAACTGCACTTTGTACATGTACAGACTCAATATGAAAGCAGGCCCCTTTTTTTGTAACTGTATAGATTGTCAATATGAAACCAAGCTACTTTTTGTGTAACTTTGTAGGAAGGAATTGCAAAGTGGGTGTGCTGCTTGGCTAGACGTGCAGATTTTACAATGAGAGATTGAAAGTATAAGGGGCTGCTAGAGGCAGCTACATCTGGGGGATGTCCCCCCCCCTCCCTAGAAAATTAACATAACAATATAATTTACAATTGCTACATAAGTCATGTATGTAAAGTCTACAGCATTCCCAGTTCCAAAGCCTCTGTTTTATGTAACTATACAGACAAGCCCACTTCATACATCTTAATCCAACAAACACTGAATGTATTCCAATGGAACCTAGACAATTTTATCCAATTTGGCAATGTATAAATGCATCATCCTATAGATAACAAATGGATTTGTTCTGTAGCATTATTAGTTTATAAACCTCTAAAGCTCTTAGTTGAGTACATGCTTGAAGGAGTAATGTTGTGCTTGATTTACTAAAATCACTAATTGTTTCCAGGCTGAAGAAATTGCAAACCAAGAAAGAGGTTCCTTGTTGCAACAACTACAGCAAACACAAGAAGAAGTGAAGCAGACACAACAGCAACTTCTTGAGGCTAGGAGTATTGCAGAGGAAGAAGCTGAGAAAAAAAAACGCTGCTATTAAATCAAGTCAGCAACAATTAAAGAAAGTTAAGGAGGACCTTGAAAATACTATGTAATAATAAAAAGTATATTTTACTATTATTTTGTTGTAAAAAAAACAGATTATTGGACTGTTATAATTTGATTTCTAGATTTAAAGATTTCTGTCCTTCTTGACCAAAATAGCATTATTTTTGAGTTAGCACAATTCGATAGATTATCATGCCTGACTGGTGAGTTTATATAGATCTTAACCTCCATCCAGGCCTCATCAAAGAAGTTCCAGGCCTTGCTGCCACCCAGGCCTCAGGCTTCTCCAATTGACCAAAGATTTGACATAATTTTTCAAAGTTTACTTTTCCAAATATAATCCTACTCTTTTTACTAATGCCCCTTTTCCATCTTACCCTCACCCCTATGCCACTATTATCACTAAAATCATCTCTAATCCCTTTTACTATTACTAACCTTTCAGTCATCCTTTTATCTCTTTGGACATTTTGCACAGCAATGAAAATGTAAAGCAAGTTTATTTTATTCAGAAGACCAAAATGATGCAAGAAAAAGAATAATTTAATGATAAATTTACATGAAACAATGGTATTGTTAAAATCAACCTATTTTGTGAGTTCACTTTCTATACTGAGTATTGCAAGATCTGTCAACCTATCTTAATTTGTGGCATTTATTATCCCTATCACTCTGGGTACCCTTTAGTGTCTTACATTCAAAATTTTATTAAACTATTTTTTGTTTATGTTATACCAATTAGAATAGCCTAAAATCTTAGCTAATAATCCATATTTTGTTAGTATACAAGTTTTAAGTTCTTAATTCTACAAGGAAATATTTAAAAAATCCTGAATTTCCACTAGTGTGACCCAAGTGACACATTTCCCCTTAGCATGTCATCATCCCTATTTCATCCACCACCCGTCGAAAAGTATGAAGTTAAACGTAATTTACTCTCTATAAAATCATCATTGCTCAGACAAATGATAATTTTTATAGTCTTCAATTTTGTTTGGTTACAGAGCTATCGAATAGAAAATCAGACCCTTCCTACCACACCCACCTGTCACATCCTCTCTTTCACAATTCGTTGATAGTTCTTTTTTACATTTCATTATATATTATCTATAACCAATAGAAAGTCAAGGTTTTCATCCATCAAATGACGTATTGTATAACATTATGTTCTGAACAGTTAGATGTCAAGTTCACTCTGAGTAGCAACATCGTTCCTGTGGGAAAGTTAACGACCAGTTTGGATGCATTTGTAACGACTTTTGTTGTATAGTTAGAAAGGCAGGAAAATTTTCAGAGGTAAATGAATTTGTTCATATTCTTTGGTGCATTATTTAATAAAATAAAAATTATTTTGTGCATTACTATAATTACTATCAAAAATTAGGCTTAACTCTCCTCAACAGTCGAGGTCAAGAAAAAAAAGATTGGTTTGGTACTTTATTTCTTGTTTTTGATATTTATTCTTTATTTATTATTATGAAAGTAACTAAAATCTAAAAATATGAATCTTTTTAAGTTATTTAAGAGTAGATTAGGTAAAATAAGTAATAATAATAATATAATTAAAATGGTTCATGAGGCACACATGCGAGCAGCTCATGGGTAATATAATTCGATAGCGTAGCGTGAGCTACACATTGCTCGAGTGATTTACAACTTATAATGCTGTGGATAGTAGTTAGACATGGTTCAAAGGGCAATAAAACAACAAAATTTAATTATAAATATATGTATAATGTTACAAACTTAGAGCTACTTAGGATAAACAAATGTAGTTTCATGTAACAATTTGAAGTCATTCTAGAAAGAATAAAAAGTTAATTTAGGTTTGTTTAAATTTTTTTTTGGTCAGATTGACTGATCACATTTTGAGATAGGGTAGAGAAAATAACAGATAAACTATAAAGTTTTACTGATAAAAAACGCTTCAAATGTATTTAGGAGGTTGTAGGGATCACACAAAGGAAATCTTAGATTTTTGAGATGAGGAAAATTATTTTTAATTTGAATATGAAAATTATTTTGCACACGGACTATTCAAAACAAATACTCAATATATTCATTGACAAATCTTTATTTTATTTTATTAAAAATAATTTT